TGCTCCTCTACGCTCCCAGGCTCCTTCCCCTTTCCCTGCCTGAGGCTGCTCTGCCTGGGAGGGAGGCTGGCCGCCACCCCACACCAGGCCCTGCTCCTGGACAGGCTGCCTTCCTGCCTGGATCCTGGCCCCTGCCTGCAGGTGCCCTTACTCATCCCACCTATGCTCCCTTCCAGGCGGCCAGCCCCTGCTCAGGAACCTGCAGGGCTCCCCACAGCCGACAAGAGGTACCAAGCCTGCTCCTGGCGAGGCCCTGGGGCTGGAGGTGATAGGCAGAGAGCCCAGCTGTGATCACATCTACCCCTGCCTGAAAGTCAGCTGTGAACCTCCAGGAGCCAGAGGGTGTCTCCCTTTGCAAGGGGTTCCCTGGCCCCTCCCCCAAGGGCAACAACCTCCAGCTTTGGCTGGTTTGAGCCAGTCTGTCTGGGGGGGGGCCCAAGAAGAGGGAGCTTACCCAGCACCCAAGAGACGCCAAGGCAGTAGGTCTCCCACATCCCAGGGGAAACATCTGCTGTGTGTTCTCATGTCCCCCCCATCCCTCCCCAGGACCGCTGGCCTTTTGATATTTGTCCTGGACACTGGACAAGACGCCAGCCAACAGAAATGCAGACACTTCACAGAAAAGGAGATGGAAAGGGCTCGTTAAAGATACAGAAAGACCGCAGCAGACTCGAGGACAAATTAGAAGTGTCTGCAAAGCCATTTCCCTGTCACATGGGCAAACACCAGAGCCGATAACAATCTGTGGGGGAGACACCCTCAGACCTCTCCTGTGACACTGACCACGGCGGCCTCGTCTGTCCCCAGCCACCCACGTGCTCATCTGCCCCAGCACGGATCTGCCAGCACCACCTGGCCAGACCCCGAGCAGAGCGCCAGCCTCCCAAGGCCCGTGACACCTGCACAGCTCCCCGGGAGCGTAAGGTTTGTTTTAACATCAGAACACCCACCAATAGAATTAGCTACATTAATAAAGAAGGACATTTATATAATCCTCTCGATCGATGCCAATAAAACCATTTGACAAAATTCAACATTCGTTTACAATGGGAACTCAGCAAACTAGGAAAAAGGCAACGCCCTTGGTGACAGAGGGTGTCCCAGGTAACCCGCAGGAAGCACCATACTCAGTGGGAGGCTGGGAGCTCCCATGTGCTCAGTGACAAGGACAGTGCCCACCACCTCCATTCGATGTCCCTGGATCCCAACCAGAGGAGATGAGGTGAGAAAAAAAGCTTCCAGGTAGGAAAGAGAGACATAAACCTTTCTATCTTCACATGACATAACTGTGTATATAGAAAATCCAAAGGAATTTACCCCGAAACTATGAACCAATAAGTGAATTAGCAAGGTTATAGGAGACAAGATTAATAGACCAAAAAAATGTATTTCTAGCCCTGGCTGGTGTGGCTCAGTGGTTAGAGTATTGTCCCGAGCAAAGGAGGGTCTNAGGCTCTCGTTTGTAAATGTTCTAACCATAGTTTGTAAGGGGGGAGATTGTTGAAATATCATTTTTAAATGAATTCCTATAAATAAAACAATTTTGAAATTGGGTTTGTTAAACATATATACATCTTTTCTTCCCTTATGTATGGACAAGCAGCGGTTTGCATATCTATTGACATTATAAATATATATAAATTCTTAGAGGAATTGTTCTTTTTTAAAGGTCTATTATTGGATTCACAATGCCCTTTGAGCTTGTTTGTTTAGATATGTAATTCGAAGCAGAAGTTGGCGGATACCACAGGAAAAACTTTCTGAAATTTCTGTAACACGTGTTTTGCAATAAAAAGAGAAACTTCAGTAGTTCAAAATATGACTTGGACTTCCTCGTGCATTTATTTGCCACCATTTGATCTCTACCATCCTCATGCCAAGAACTGTTGGGGCCCCATAAATAGAGATTGTGAACTAATTGCCTATGGGTCGTATCTAGCCAGCAGAGAAAGGGCGCTGGTGGGCAGCACAGTGTTTTTTAAATATGTGAAAGATTTTGCCCTGGCCTGTGTGGTTCAGTGGTTAGAGCGTCAGCCAATGCACCGAAGGGTTGCAGGTTCAATTTCCAGCCAAGGGCACGTACCTGGGCTGCAGGTCGATCCCAGGCCTGGGTCAGGGTTCTTTAGGAGGCAACTCATCAATGTGTGTCTCTCTCACATTGATGTCTCTCTCTCTTTCTCTCTCTCTCTCTTCCTTCCCACTCCCTCTCTCCTTTCCACCCTCTCTAAAAATCAATGAAAAAATATCCTCAGGCGAAGATTAACCAAAAATAAATAAATAAAATGTATTTCTATATACCGGCGACAAACAACTGTTAAAAGGAAACCAAAAATACGATATCATGTATAAGCATAGAAAAACAGTCCTTTAGGTGAAAGTGAAGCGTGCTCTGCTGAGCGAGGCTGGAGGAGGCCTCTGTGGAGGTGGCCGGTGGGGAGGTAGGTATACCACGTTCATGGAGACTCATACTGATCTGTGCAAACTCATGACGCCCCAAGCGTCTTGTTCTGCTGGGTCTCCTTCCTGGAGGGACCTCGACACTGGCCTCTTCCCTCGGCACCCACCACCTCCTGCCTAGTCAGGAGGCCACCATCTGCCCCTTGGATGTCTTCAACAGCCTTCTGGTTGGTCCCCAACTTCCAACCCGTCCCCAAGACCTCAGCCAGAGGGAGATGTCAAATACACTCACATCATATCCTGCTTAAAACTGCAATGGCTCCCACGGCCCAAGAGGAAAGACCCAAGCTCCTTAGGTGGCCTCAAGGCCCCTTCTTTACCCACCCCTCCAGCCTCAGCACTTGCCATGCTCTCTGAGCCCCCACATCCCACCCTTCAGGCACAGAGAGCTTTTTCCATTCCCTGAGGCTTCCCAGCTCCTCTGCCAACCTCTGCCCTGCCCCTGGCTGACCCTGAGCTGGTCAAGGAGCACCCCACATATCATTGGTCACCTCCTTGTCAGGACTACCTAGGAGACCTGTGTGCAGACCATCCTCTAACGTGTCCCCAAGGGCAGGGGCACTGGGCATCTTGGCCACACCCACAGCACCCACTGTATGCTCGCAGAGGGGCTTCAGAATGGACAGTGAGGAGCAGGGGGGTAGAGAGATGTGTAGATGCTAGTTGGTTTTCTCAGTGGGGTTGGGGGATGAGGGATGAGCCCATGTCAACTGGACCACAGGGACACACCCATGTGCCACACAGAGATACCCATCGTGACACCTGCCCAGGCCCCAGGAGCCCACAGGGTACTAGGACTGGCCCCTGACATAGTAGTCCAGCCCAGCCCCGCCCAAGCCAGTGCTCACTCCTTGCCAGGCAGCCCCACCTCCTGGTTAACTTGTAAGGCACCAGGAGTCCCAGGCAACTGAGGATGGGCGGGGCTTGAGTCCTGGCCCTGGAGCAGGGTGCTGGGGGTGGTTCAGGAAATGGCCCACGTGCCCAACGAAACCTCCAGGGCCTGTGCTCCAAGGGACCCTGGGCTGTGCTGTCTCAGCCCAGACCCAGACCCCACCATCTGTGCAAACGGAGCCTGTACCTGCAGGGAACCAGAGAGGAATGGACAGAACGTCCTGGCACGTTGTCTGAGCTACCTTGGGAGGGATGGGGTCCCAGACCTCAGAGCTGAACACTCCAGGGGCTAGGGGGCCCAGTCTGTCCCCAAACTATCCTCAGAACCGGAGAAGCCCCTCCCCTGATGGAGCACAGCCATGTCCAAAGTCTGCAGTGTCCCCAGGAGCTGCGTAGCTCTTCACTCATCTCAAAATGCAGCAAAACCAGTTTAAGGCTGTCAGTGGGGGTGGAATCCAGTAAAACCAAATGAAGTGGACAAGGGATACCAAGCAAGAAATGATTGTAAGTGGAGAGAAGAGAGCCCTAAGCGTCCGAGAGCTTGGACACAGCCTGGTGGGCCGGTCCAGCTGGCACCGGCTCCATCCCACCTCCTGCCCAGGAAGCCCTGCTGGCCAGCCCCTCCCTGACTACCTGCTCACAGGGCACCGGGGTCTCAGCACTCACCACAAAAGCTCTGCCAACCCCCAGGCTGACCAAGGCCTGGGGGAGGGAGGGCGAGCGAGGACATGCGAGAGAGAACCCAGGACCAGGACTAGGTCCGGCACGGCTCCCAAGGAGAAGCCACGGGCACTGGGCCTCTGCAGCAGGAAGTGAAAATGAAAAGGAACCGCAGACAGGTGGAGCGGGCAAAGTCTGCTGGGAAGGGTGGGGAAGGTGTTCTCACCTGCACACATCCACACCTGCCCCCTGCATCTGCAAGGCTACAGTGCACGAGGGAGGCCGTCTTCACCCCCCCCAGTCCCCCACCAGCAGGTCCACAGAGCTGCTGGGGACCCCAGACGGGCCTGACCCTGGACACAACCCTGGGTTCAGCGCTGGCACTCAACTTGGCCAGGCAGGCTGCTCACTCCAGGTGTCATAAAGCCCCAACTGCATCAGGCAGTAGGGTGAGGCCCTCCCAGTCTGCTGGGCCCCGAGGTCTGCAGCCCTGGTTCAGCTCAGCTGCCCCACACTGGGCTCCAGACCAGTGACAGGTGTGAGAATATAGACTGAGGCCCAGATGTCTGGGGCATGAGGAGATCAGCCATGGGTGGGGGGGACCTGCTCAGACCCTGGAAGACTTGGGAGCAGCCCACACTCAGCAGGAACTTCCAGGCCACTGAGGACTTCAGGGCAAACCAGACGGCCGGAGCCAGGACAGTGTCAGCACCAACTGCATATGGCACCACCGGGCAGAGGACACCAGGCCTTGGTTCTCTGGTGCCCTCCACTTTGCACACCTACAAATACCACTTGGCTGGTAGGTAATGGCAAGGCTGCCAAGTGGGGAGATGGCAGGCAGCAGTCTGCTTCCTGCCACTCCCTCCTGCACCTGCCCTGGGCCTGCCCCAAGTGCCCGATCTTCCTCCCCAACCCCCCTCCTCCTGAAACCACCTCCCGGAGGCCATGGTCCCCTCCCAGTGTCTCCCCTGCCTGAAACAAGACGTCCGTAAACTGCTCAGCACTCATGTTTATTTATAAAGTTACATCCTAGAGCCCTGGCCAGTTTGGCTCAGTTGGTTGAGCGTCAACCTGTGCACCAAAAGGCTGCCAGTTCGGCTCCCGGGCAGGGCACACACACAGTTACATCCTAGAAACGCTGCACAGACTGTGCCGACACTCCTGTCAGCTACAAGGCCTCTCTGGAGCCCGCAGGGGAGACGTGGAGGGTCCTGCAGAGCTGTTGTCGCAGCTCGGGGACCAGGACGATGGGCTTTTCTTGCCCTCCCTGCGGACTGGGGCTGCCTCTCTCCAGGACGAGGAATCTTCATCTGGAGCCACAGGCACACGTAGCACCCAGCTCAGGACGGGCCGCCGCAGCACAGGCTGGTGGCACGAGGCCACAGTACAAGGACCCCAGTCCCCGGAGCTGACACACGGGGTCATCAGTTAGGTCCTCATCACTGCCATGAAGGAGGCCTGTGACAGGAGATGGCGAGATGTGGGCACTCGCTGCCCCTGACAGTGGGGAAGACGGGGAGCTTCCTTCCTCGGCACTGCCAGGGGCTGTGACTCAGAGGCTCTGCCTGCTGCTCTCGGGACAGCCAAGTCCACAGCGAGGCCACCGGGAGGGGCTGGGGGAATGGAGGCCTCAGGTCCCAGGCAACCCCTCCCAGGCCCCACGTACCTCCTGGAGGAGCTGCCCCAGCATTTCCTGGCTGTGAATGGAGCGCCTGTGGGAGATCACCTGGGTCAGCCCTGGGATTCCCCATGCTCAGGCCCATCTGCGCCGCCACAGCTGACAGGAGTCCCAGGCACTGCTGCAGCCTTGGTCTCAGTCAGGACAGCTAAGAGCTGGGGCACATGGGGCAGGCGGGAGAACACAGTGAGGGGGGAACTAACGCACTAAGGACTACGGCCCCCACTGCCCCACCTGTCTATCCTGGTGGCGATGGTCACCGTGAAGGCCCCCTCCATGTCTGGCAGGTAGGTGGAGGGCACAATCCTATAGGTCCCCGCAGAGAGGTGGCAGACACGGCTCACTTCCTGAGTGTAGCTGTGAGGCACGCAGCTCAGCAGGGGCTTCTGCAGCAGCAGGGAGGGCGCGCCCTGGGCCTCGCCGGCCACTGGAACCTGGAGAGGCACAGGCTGAGTGGGAGGCCTGTCCTTGGGGTGGGTAGAACTGCCCGTTGTCCTCAGTCTCTTTCCCAGGCCCCAAGCAGCCCCAGCTGGGGGCATGCTGGACTGGAGCAGCCCCAGCTGCAGTCTGCTTGGACCTCCTGGGGCTTCATGCCTGGTCCCCCACCACACACACACCCCTTCCAAGGAGGAGCAGTAGCAGCCCCCAAAGCTGGGCTCACCACTCACCCAGGCCCCACCGCTGAGCCAAGAGACTCTGTCAGGTGTCAGGCCACACCCAGGAACCACCCAAATAGCCCCTGCTCAGGCCCTGAGTCATCTGATGGCCACTAACATTTTTTATGAAGCTCCTGGTGTCTCTGCTCTTGGGAAGGGGGGTTCTCAGCAGCTCAGCCCACCCCCCAAGTATACAGAACCTTCTCAATCAGAAAATCCTACTCTCCCCCTAGATCACCTGTACTCCAGGCTACGTGGGTCCCTTTCCCTCCACAGATGTTGGGACACTGGACACTTCACCTCGCCCATCTAGAAGTGGGGCCTCCAGGAGCTCAACTGTGTGTGGGCTGGGGAGCCCCAGTGGCCATGGGATCCGGGCCTGCAACCTCTGACATCTCCCCTTCCTCCAGCTACAGGTCTGCTAAGGGTGTCTCATGGTGGGAAACAGAGCCAACCAGCCAAGGATGGCATTCTGGGTGGCACTTATGACTCACTGGCCCTTCCCTGGCTTCCACACACCCTCCTCACCATCTGTGGGGTCTGCTCCCCGGCCCCTGCCCAACACCTGGAGGGCAGCACTTCCTTCTGAGGGGCTCCCCTTGACTCACATTGTTCTAGGTAGAAGGCAGGGGCAATACTCTCAGCCCGAGTTCCTGGAAGCTGCCTCTACCCCTAGACCTGTCTGGGGTCCAGGAGCAATCCGCACAGCTGGGCCCACTGCAGCCCGCAGGCTGAGATGCCTGCCCAGAGGACCTCGGGAACCCGGGAGCTCCTTGCCACCCGCCTGTTTTCTTTCTGACCTGAAAGTCCTGGCAGCGACACTCGGGCAGCAGAGTGGCTGTCAGTTCCAGGACGGTCTTGGCCAGTGTGGGCTCCCTGCCCACTTTCCTGCTCTTTCCCACAAGCCCTCTTATCACCCACCTCTCCGTGGCTCCCAGAGGCACCCTCGCCCCCAGAAGCAGCCTGTGCTGGGGGCATGCGTGGGGACCGGGGCTACAAACTCTAGGCGCTGCTGGTATAGACTGATCACTCCCGGGGACACCACTGGCCCTCCTGGGAAGAAGGCACAGTCCTGGGGAAACTGACCACAGGACAGTTGTTTTGAGCCAGGGAGAGGGGAAAGGGGCTGCCTGAGCCACCTGTGGCCCCAGTGAACTAGACTTTATGAAACCCAGAGACGAGTCTTGTATGTGACTGGCCAATGTGCCCAAATGCCAGAGTCCAGGGCTCCACATCACGCCCATCCCACCCTGGCTCAGCCTCCAGACTAGGGACATGGAGCTTGCCTGGAAGACATGGAAGCCAATGGGGTGGCAGTCGCCATCCAGGCAGTGCTGGTGCAGAGTGATCCGGACACAGCGGGGGCCTGCACCCTCGGGCACCAAGAGGGGGAAGCAGGGATTGCTGGGATAGGAGGCGAAATTCCTGCTGCCCCCGGCCGTCTGGCCGATCCTCCAGGAGCCCCGCAGCTGCACGGTCTCCCACTCCCCCGCAAGCAGGGTGTTCCTGGGGTTGGGGCTCTGGGCTGCAGTCTTGATGGCACTGCCGGGAAGAGGAGCACAGGAGGGTGGCTGGAGGCGCAGTCTGGCCCACAGTGGTCAAGCAGGAGCACACAAGCGCCCAAGGAAATGGCCAGACCCTGCCCGTTAAGCCAGCCCACTGCCCCTCACCTGAGGGAGACTCGTCCACTGGAGAAGACGCGGAGCAGAAACTGTCCTGGCATGTCCTTTAGGAAGGTGCTGGGCACGGCCAGGTAGTAGCCAGGGGTGAGCTCACAGCGGAGATGGACCTCACGGTCATACGCATGGCACGCGGTGCCAGCCACAGGGGGTGTGGATAGGACCCTGGGCAGGCTGACCCGCCGCTTCTCCACCTGGGGAGAGGAGGCCTGCGTGGGAACTCACAGAGCCTGCCACACCCACTCCCGGCATCACGGCATCTCCTCAGCACCCAGCCTCCCGGGAACTGAAACTGCCCATGGCCCTGGGCTTGCACTCAGCCTACCCCATGTGAGCTGCAGGGCCCTGGGCAGGGAGAACACGCAGATGAGGAAGGTCTGTGCCCAACGGCTAAGGCAACCTGAGGCTGCTGAACAAAAGGCCTGCCAGCAATTACTTAGCAGGAGGAAAAAAATAAGCCTCGCCCACAAGGGGACAGGGAACACGGTCATGAGCCCTCAGATCGAGGCAGGACATACAAGACTAAAAATCAGGTGAGTGGGCAGCAAACAGGCAGCAGGTTCCTGCACCAGGCTCCTGTCCCCAGGAGAGGACAGGTGCCTCTATCGGGTGCCAGATGGGGAAGAAACTGAGGGAGCAGAGGGTGAAGTGACCTCTCGAGGTCCCACAGGAAGTCTCAGCTCGGCTCAGACCTCCACAAACACCGGCAACCTAGAGTCCCGCCACCCCCGGCTTTGGTTCTGGTTTCCTCTGGCCCACAGGCAGGGAACTCAGTCCTGTACTCAGATTAGTGCTGGGTCTGTGGGAGCCAAAGTAGGGACATGACCCCAGGACAGCCAGGTGTGGCCTGTGGGGCTTGTCATATGTGCGCCAGCACCAGCACTCAGACCTCCACAGATCTCCCATCCTGGACCCTGCACCCCGCTGAGCAGGAAGTTGGCCCCATGGAGCTACCTTCCAAAGATGCAGGCCCACGGCTGGGTAGTCCTTGCCGGGGACGCTCGCCGGGCTCCACACAGTGCGGTTGTCCCCCACCGGTGGCCGGGCCCGGCCAGCCCAGTCCACCATGCGCATCCGGGGCCGCTGCAGGACAGCGACATATACCTCGCTCGGTTCCGACACCCGCAGCCAGAACTTGGGGTTGCTGGGAAAGTCACTGTTATTCCGGCAGCCTCCTGCGGACTGGCCCTGGACCCAGGCCCCCGGCAGCTCCTGGGTGTGGCTCAGCACCTTCTCTAGGGCGAGAGCACAGCACGTGTCAGGCTCCCCCCACGGGGAGCCACCGCAGGGGACAAGGGCCCTGCTCAGGCCTGACTTTAGGAAGCTGAGTTCCTTCGGGGGGCACACTGCACCCCCTGAAGGCTGCCTGGGGAATGTGCTGGTTACCTGAGTAGAGGCTCTGCAGGTGGCCAGCTTCGGTGACCGGGTAGCCAATGGTGACCTCGTCAAACTCCCGGAGAAACTCCTCCTCCTCCACCCAGAACTCCCCTTCCTGGAGCTGGGACAGCAGCTCTGATGAGTCCACTGGGTCCACCTGGCTCCACCCTTCGCCCCTGGAAAGAAGCTCAGGTCAGCAAAGGTCTCCCATCTCAGAGTGACAGTACTGACCGTGCAATGGGGCAAGGCGACCTGGAGGGGAACAGGAGCCCTGAGAGCCCTGTCCCTGCCACAGCCTTGGGTCAAGGGAGCCTTGCTGGGAGCCAACTGAGCCCTGTCCTGACCACCCAAACCACCGTGGCACAAGCCACAGCATGAGCCACAGCATAGGGGACCAGGCGCCCCTCCCTACGATGGCAGTGCCACCACCCACACTCACCCCTCTCTCCAGGGCCCCTGCCAGCACCGCCGGCCCCAGGGGTTCTGAATGCGCAGTAGCAGGATACTCTGACCAGCCTGACCCTGGAGCTGGCACAGGTCCGAGACGATGAAGGCGTGAAACTCCCCCAACTCCCGGGCACCTGGGCAAGGAGCAGCTCAGTCAGCAGCAGGAATCACCAAACCCAGCAGATGCACAGGTCTGTCTTCTCCCCTGAGGAGTTGTCCAGCCCCCAGGGGCCAGACCACCAGGGGCTCCTTCCCTGACTGCTGTGGACAGTTAGCTCAGCAGTGGCCTTGGCCAGTGCAGAGCCCCAGCAAGGCTCTGGACTCCGGCTCAGCTGGACCAGAACTGGCAGCTCATTCCTTTCTCTGGGCCCTGGTTCCCACCTGGATGAATGAGGGACACTGGCTGGACCACAGGGCCATGCAAGACATCTAGTGCAAGGTTGTCTCAAAAGTGCTACTATGAGCACTGTTATCAACAGTGTGCAACCCAGGGACAGGGGAGATGGCATGGCAAGGCCAGTGGGATGCAGGGGATGGAGGGGCAGTGGGAGGACTGGCGGCCGAGGAGAAACGACTCCAACTGCCCAGAGACCAGGGACAGAGGACGGAGGAGGAGCCAAACTAGACGGCAACTACCTGGAGAGGAGGGTGACCCAGCGCAAAGAAGACACTCCTGGACCATCTCATGTGCTTTACCCAGATGGCACTGTGCCGCCATGCTGGGTGTCCCGCCCCCGTCCCCAGCCCCGTGCCACTTCAGTGGGCTAGGTGACCTCCAGCAGCCCATGTGTACCCCACCCTCAGGGGAGGAGCCCGTCCCAGGCCTGTGCCAACCCCCCCACACACACACCAGGGCAACGTAACTGTCAACACGGGTCTGTTTATTTCAACATTCGTAATCTCTGATCAAAAACTCCACTGTGGAAATAACCCTAAACGGTAAACTTGTACGCATAAAAATACTGTTATTTATTTATGACAGCGTAAAATCAGATAAGCTCCTAACACTGAGTGAAAGGTGAAAGAAGCTACAGCACATCTCACTAGTGTAGTAAGAAGTTGACCAAGTTTATGCAACACAGAAGATGGTACAGAACACAAAATGCAAAAAGTACAGGTTTATGAAAAACTGAGAAAGTGCCTTAAAAATCAAAAGCAGCTACGTCTGAGTTTTTCAACAACCTTTCCTCAACGAGCATGCGCATCACTACACCGGAAACCTGGGTGCTGAGTTTGCAGGTTGCCAGCCGAGCCAGAGATGGTATCACCATGTGCTTCCCAGGCCATCTCCGCACTGCGGTGACCCCACAGTCCTGGTCAAGGGAACAGAGACCCCACCCTCTGGAGAAGGGCGGGCAGCAGGACAAGGTCACACAGCCGGACACCAGCTTCCACTCAGTCTGGACAGGGCCCAGTGAATGCCTACAGGACCCAAAGCTGTGTGCAGGCCCCCTGCGTGACCACAGCCTCACCTGCTCTGGGGCTGAACACCGAGCAGCTGATCAGACACCGCTCCTTGAGGGCAAGCAGCTGCCGACAAGTCCTGGGCTCTGGGCTGCCGGGCCCATCCTGTTGGCCCCTGCTGCTTGCCAAGTCCTTCAGGTTCCACCTTTCCGCTAGGCCGCCGGTTAGGTCCACCAGGGCATCTGCCACCTGCCCTGCCCACAGATGCTCGTAGGATCCATGGACCCTGGGAGAAAGGCATGGGAGTGAGCCTTCGGCACAGGGCACAGCACCCTGCCTCTCTTCTGTCCCCATGGTCTATGACACCTCAAATCATCCTCTGACCCCCACATCCCTTCTTTTTTCTGCAACTCATCCTCACTGCTGCCAGATGCAATTGTGCCTTCATGGGCTGACATGCAGCATCCCAGCAAAGCCCAGCCACCTCTGCCCACGTGCAGAACCTCTCCGGCCGCCAGGGTGAGTGCAAGTGTGAGGCGGTGTAGGCCAAGGCTGTGACACCCATTCCTCCGTCTGACGGACTCCAACCCCACATGCTGGGCAGTGGCCGTCGGAGGGAGGGATGCACTCACACTACGTCAGCAGCAGCCTCCCTCCCCTCCTGGTACATGGGCCTATCAGCTCGCTGTCAGCAGGACAGTAAATGCACTCTAGGAGGGAAGGGGCTCAATTCAGACTCTGCACGAGGATCTTGGTCTCAGTCAGACCCCGATAAACAGGCTGATACCTAGGTAGCTTCCTTCCTCCCCAGTAACCTATGGAGGAGCGACCTGTCCACATCTTTCTTGCTGGGGTTGAGGAGAGAGAAAGGAAGAAAACACAGTATCCCTTCATGCCCAACTGTGAAATGAGGGCAGGGAAAGGGAGGTACCACAGGCCAAGCCTCAGAGTTTGTCTCTGGAGCAGTCGGCCCCACTCAGGACCTGCGACCAGGCACCTGGAAATGACAGGGTGCTGCAGCCCAGGGAGGGTGAAAACATGATCCCGGGGGCAGCCGAAGGTGGTGGTGGCCCAGCCACCGGGGCCCAGCTCCACCAGCCCCTAGCTTGCGTACTTGGCATAGACCTTCTCCAGCAACGGAAGCCAGAACACATCCTCTCTCTGGCACCGGGAGAAGCAGAGTCTCCCTGCAAGACAAGGCAGACGGTCATCTATGGTCACCTCCACCCAGCGTCCAAACTGCCAAACTCGACAGGTGAAGGAGCCACGGTATGTCTGATCAAGCCAGCTCGGCTGTCCGGGAGGAAAGACCTACCATGCACAGGGAAAGGCAAAAGGAGACCATGAGACAAGCATCACGCAGTGCCCTCCAAGTGTGCTGACCAGAGTGACCACGCTGTGCCACCCTACAGACCCCGTGGTCTGCAAAAGATCTGACTTCACTCCACGCCTAGGGTCAGTGCTCGTGGAACCAACCACTGGACAGAAAATCCAGACTTCTCAATAAAACATTTTAAGGCCACAGTGAGGGAACCAGTGTCTCCCAAAGCTCAATGTCAACCATCATGCCCCTGATTAAGCCCTCGACACGAATCCAAAACAAATGTGACTTTCTCAAGCATGAGACCCAATTCTCAGCAGAGCTTCAGATGGCAGGGCGCCATAAGCACAGTGATCCTCCTGCAGGCACCTGGAGCCCAGGCCCTCTGCCAACACCTGGACTCGTGTTCACTGCTGGGTCTGGTGTTCTGACCCGAGCCGTTGGGGGCTTTGTACCTCGATGACTCGTTTGGTGCTGGCTCTGCCACTCACTAGCTAGAAGACAGTGACAATGGTTCTAGTGTCCTCATTGGTGAAAATGGGTCACAGCCAGCAAGGCCTGAGTGACAGCCAGTGATGAGCTGCGCTTGGCATGGGCCGGGGCCCCTGGAGGAGCTCTGATTGGGTCACCACTGTTGATGAATGTTGCTAACTGGTGAAACTTAGCAAGGAGCCAAACACAAGGCCATCAGCTCCAGGAGGGAGTGTGAGCAGGCCTTCTACGCCTGTGGGGTCTGCCAAGCATTAGAGACAGTTTTAACCATTTTTTACCAATGTATATTCATATCCAGTTAAGGAAGTAACTAGTGGGGACGCTCACTCCAAACCAGGGCACAGGAGCCCTCGGTGAGCCCTTTCCTATCCGGTTGGCCCTTTTAGTTCAGATGTGTGTCTCTGATTCCATGAGAACCGGGATCCTGGGATGGCAGAGCAGGGAGGAACGCACCCCTGCGGGAGAGGGGGACTCTGTGGCTGTGCCTCAGAGCCCCTGAGGCCTGACAGCTGACCTCTCACTCCCACTGCTGTTGCTGAGCAGTGCAGCACAGCCCACAGAACAGGGGTTCAGCGCCTGGCCTCTCATTTCCTTCCTGGGCCCAGCAGACAGGAAGAGCGCAGAGAGAAACTGCGCTGTCACAGACACCTGGTGCAGGAGATGCTGGCTCTTCTGCAGGGCAGCGCAGGCACACAGGAACCAGCAGTCCCCCAGCAGCCCTTGCTTCACCTGCCCTTCCTGTGGGTTATCTGGAAACAGCCGGGGTGTGGCACAAATTTCCTAAAATAAAGAAAATTGTCTAGAGTTACATCATGCCTAGTGGCCAATCTTTGAAATGGAGAACACAAATCTAGGTGACAGGCTGGGAGGAGCTTTTCTGCTCCTCTGCATTGCCTAACATGGGAGGGGAGGCAGCTGGCTTCTTGCAGACATGATCCGTTAGCCCTTCCTTGCTTCAGATTACCCCGCCCAGCTTGGATTATGGGGTACCTGTCTCTGTCCACCTTCCTTAATCCCCAATTCTGGATGAATGCTACCATTCCCTTCTTGAAACAGCTAAATGTTCATCTAGAAAATGGTTTCACTTTGTTTTTTAAAATTTATTGAGTTTTAGCAAGAAACAGTAAAGGGCAGAAACATCAGTTTGTTGTTCCATTTATTAATGCATTCACTGGTTGATTCTTGTACATGCCCTGACCGGGGATCAAACCCCTTGGTGTTCTGGGACGACTCTTGAACCAACTGAGCTACTCGGCCAGGGCAAATGGTTTCACCTTGAATTCAATGGGGAATCTCGAATGGGTCCTCTGTACTGCTAGAAATCCCAGCATGTCCCTAAGAGGCTCTTTCCCACACCCGGGCTAGCTTATGCCTGATTCTCCCTCTTCTCAAAACGTGCTCGCCTCACCCTTCATCAGAAGCCACCCACCGGGCGCCCTCTCCTGCCCCCGCCTGGATTCCTCCTGCGACCCCTCCCTCTCACACCCATGCAGGCGGAATCGCCAGCGGAGGGCACCCGGGGACCCTCCATCCTCTCTGAGACACTGCTCCCCAGCACTACTTCCCCTATCGGTTTCCCCTCGCTGACAACCTCTGGAAAGAGCTGCCACCCCTGCTTCCTCCCCCCAGGCCCCTCCGGGGTCGTCCCCAAACCATCTTTACAATGTCACCTCCGCGTTCTCAAATCTTTCCCCACACTGGACAGCGCTGGACCCTGACCCCAGCGGTGCCCTCCTGGCTCCTGAGAGCCCGTGTGCTCCTGGGTGTCCCCTCCCCTCGCTGCCGCTGCTTCCCGAGCCTAGCTGTCGGGCACCTGCTGACCCCCCGGAACCGTGAGGGTCCCTCAGACTCAGGCCCGACCCTCCTCTTCCTGACCCTCTCCCGGGCCTGGCCTGTAAGCGCCAGCACAGCCCCCATTCCCAGGTCAAGCCCCCTTCCCTGGGTCCTGGGCGCCCAACTCACAGCCAGCTGCCTACCGACAGCGCCAATTAAAAGGCGAGAGAAAAGCCACCAGACTCCACCCCTCCCCCCAGTACCTCCAAGGGACCACCACCCACCCGGTGCTCAGGCTCGGCCCCCCTTATCTTCCCTCTCGACTCCCCATCGGCCACTGGGACCCACCAAGGCGCCAGCGGCGGCCGCGCGAACCAGCCCTCGGGCTTCTCAGGACCTGCCCGGCGTCCGGGGGTGTCCTCGGACTCAGCCGGCTCCGTCCCCCTCCGCGGAGACCTCTAGCCCTCCCGCGCCGACGGCCACC